TGCAGCGAAACGACTCATCTACTATTTCCCTCATTGACCTATAATTATTAATAATAACACAACAACAATAATTTTACCTGTTATTATTATTGTTACCTGGATTACCTGTTACCTGCGTCCAGGTAATCCAGGTAACAATAACAATAATAATAAACAACAAAAACAACAACACAATAACAAAAACTACCTCGGCAACCCCGTCGACGAGAGCGGTACCTGAGTATCTGCCTTATGCCTATGCACCCCAAACTCCTCACACACAAAACTCTCCCCATATCTCCGCATCCTCACCCGATAACTACACTTGAAACGGAGACGATTCAGGCAATCGTAACTATAACATTAATATTTATTATTAATATACACTAATAATAATAATAATAAATATTACATAATAATATATAATATACAATAATAATAATAATAATAATAATAACAATAATAAATAATAATAATTAATATTAACTACCACAAAAACAATCGCCCTCTTAATAAACACCCTCGCAAAAATATTGACCCCGGCCGGAATCGAACCCTCCACCTACTTATACTATGCACTTTCTTTTTACTATTATCATTTATTATACACTATTATTATTTATTATATATTATTATTATATATTAACAATAATAAATAATATAATAAAAAATAAAAACAATAACAAAACAATAAAAAGCACCCACTATTCATAGCCATCCTCATTAAGTCCCCTCGAGATCACGTTTAATGAGGCTGCAAGAGCTGTCGCTAGCACGCTCGGCCCTTTGAAACACACAAACCAGTCGTCTGATTGCGTGTCATGGCAACTGCTGTAATTATTATTATTATTTATTATTATATATTATATTAAACATAAACACAACCTAAAATTAACAAAACACAACCTGAAATTAATATCAGGACTGCTCTTCGCGCTCCGTTCCGCCGCCTCCTCTGCTGTCATCTTCTCCGAACTGTTGAAATTGTTGAATAAAAACGGAAAATTCGCCAACACATTCAATACGTCCGGATTCTCGCGTAGAATTTGCGTCACATCGAACTGTTTCGAGAACGCCTGATGACAAATGACAAATATGACAAAATAATGACAAATATGACAAAACAATGACAAATATGACAAAATAATGACAAAATCCCACCTCCAATCCCGCCGCCTGCATCGCCATCTCATCCGAATGCTCTTCCATCCTCTACCAATCGCCCTCCTCTTCTATTATCTATTCCTGAAACAATAATTATAAAATTAATTAATTACCACAATAACAATAATAACAATAACAATAATAATAAAAATAACAATAATAAATAACAATAAATAACAACAATAACCACATATATACACACACAAGCCCACTAACTATGCCCAATATCAACCCAAAATGCGCTTCATAAGCCATCTCTCACACTTTTTTATACATTTAACCAACATAATAATATT